GTTTAGGATTTTTTATTTTAGCAGAAACATTTATTAAAGACTATGTGTTTGTTTGTCGGGTGGATATTAAACTTCCCATGATTAACGGTATAACATAACATACCTTTAAACGTGTATTTATCATGGTTTGGATCACGGCGTGTATTTATCATGGTTTGGATGGCAAAAAACTTGACCCAAAACGGCTTAAAGGGATGAGACCTTAGTATATTAGTATATAGAGATGAGTGACGACGAGTTCGAATGTTGCGTTATATGTAAGTATCACGAAGACAACCTTAGAAAAATACTTAACATGTTTCCAGATAATGTCATTGAAATAATAAGCAGGTTCAAAGGTTGTAAAAAATGTGACAAAGAGAGAGAGAGAGAGAGAGAGAGAGAGAGAGAGAGAGCATGATGAAGCCATGGATGAATTAATGAATCTAATGAATCGCAAAAAAGGCAAAAGATGCAAGGTGAACGTGACAGAAAAATACAATCGCATATTGACATTAGAGGCCAAAACAAATAAGTTATATCGTGAAATAGAAGAAATAATGGACAAATACCATTTCATGAATCAGTGAGAAACATTACGGTTTACTATTATATTGTGAAATATAATATTAAATTTCATTAGAGAGACACCTTGCCCCAGTACAAGGCTTATTGTTATTCTTAGGTTTTGGGCTTAGGGGTTTGGGTTGAGGAATAGCGGGGATTTATGGGGGAAGGTGTTTTTTCTTGGTTTTGGGCTTGGGTTTTTGGGAATATGGTTTTACGGGGATTTCGGGCTAAGATTTACAGGTTGATATTTGGCATATGGGTATAAAGGAGATTTGGGAATATGGTTTTACGGGGATTTGGGCTAAGATTTTGGGCTTGGGATTTGGGCTTGGGTTTTGGGCTTGGGATTTTGGGCTCAGATTTGGGCGAATGGTTTCCATAGATTAGTGGGGCAAGGTGTCTTGTAAGTGGGTTTGGGGGGGGGGATGATGACGCATTGGTACACAAACACCCCGAACATTCTCTCCACAAGAGCCGTTTTACGCGGTATTTACAACAGTACTTTCGTGATGGCGGACCATCTTATATGGTGATGGCTGATGATGGTTGATGATGGTTGATGATGGTGATGATGATGATGCATGATGAAGGATCATGATGGATGATGATCCTTCATCATGCACCAGCAAAGCGGCCAACAAGTGTTGCTGACCAAGTTTGCGCAGCGCGGTGCTCGCAAAAGTGGCTTTTACTGCAGCGCCAGCACCTTTTTCGCTAAAACGATCGACCTGTCACAGGGATTCTCCGCTTTTCCTACCACAACTTTTAGTCATAATACACGTTTTCCCTCGGTTTTCGGACATTTCCTGTCTCAGCTACGCCACAAAACGCCGGTCACATACCAGGCGCTGTTACCTTGTTTATAGACATGTCGTCTTGTCATAGCGTGTGCGTGATCGTGCTTCCATCGTTTTGTTGTGATTATGTGCCTCCTCTTCTGACTGAGTGAGTGATGTTGTATGTGTTTATAAACAGCTAGATGTGTTTATAAACAGCTAGACTGCGTACGTGTTGATGTTGGTTGGGGGGGAGGGGGGGAGGGAGAGTGTTAGGTACAAGTTAAGAGAGCCCTCCCCCCCCTCCCCCCCCTCCCAAAAGCAACGAATCAACTTAAGCCGAAGCCAGCTCTTCCCCGCAAGCCAAGCCAAAGCCAGACCTGCTGCAGGTATGGCGCTGAGCTGACGGCTGTCGGGCCGTAGCTGCATAATACTAACTAAATAAAAGAATAAATATGTGAATAATATTTGTATACAGTATATGTATACACACACTTACACTTATTTTTCATGATTTAGAAACAAGCACCATGCCTAAAAGCATATAGAGGCTTAGCTTTGATGTTGAGTATAATACTGCACCTCGGCTGCATTTAGACTTTTCTGGAACTACGCTATTCTTAGTTTGTAGTGTTCATGATGCTTCGACTGAGTCTCATGATGAAGTCAGCTGCACAAAGCCGTTGATGCGGCAATGTCGGATTAGGACTTGTTTAGCGGTGTTTCATGCTTTAGCGGTAGAGAAACATGAAGCGATCGTCGGCAGTGGCGGGTTTCGTTGAGTTCGAGAGCGGTGTCTGTAAGCTCCAGCTCACCAGCGTTAACCTCGCTACAACTACTTCTTCTTCTGCTACAACGTCGTCTTCACAGAACACTTCCTCCGGAATACCACCGATTCAGGACATCATGTCGCAGATTGCTTCGTGCACTTCGAATGCGCACGTGTCGAAAAGAACTCTTTCCAGTCGTCAAGTCCAATCTCACATCTGCTACATCCAGCGGTCTCTCAACTTGACCACAGGCTTGAAGGGCGAATGGACCTCACAGGCTTCGGAGATGCTCAACAAGTGGTTGTCTTGTCGTCGCCAAAGAAGGGCACCAAAGCAGCAGCTCCCCTTGCCATCGCGGACGGTGATGTAAACGAGAAGCTGGACACGGAAGAGGCAAAGTCAAAGAACTCGCTCACGGGGAACAACGACTAGGAGGTAAAGGCCAAGGACGCACAGGACACCACGGACTTGCTCGCGGAGAACCCCGACTTCGAGGTAGGGGCCAAAGACACGCAGGACGCCAAGGACTTGCTCACAGAAAACCCCGACTTGGAGGTAGAGGCCAAAGACCCGGAGGACAAGGAGGCAGACAACACACAGGAAACACAGGCAGAGGACGCGGTGGAAACCAAGGAACAGGACGCCGGCTCGGACTCGGATTCCTCGTACTCGAGTTCTTCATCATCTTCCTGGACATTGCCAACGGATTGGGGCTCATGGACCTCGGAATGGCACGACGTCTGGCAAGAGGCGCTCTATCTTCCGGAGCGGTCGGCAGGGGAGAGCCAGGAGAAGGCGGACATCGCCATGACTATGTTGAGGGCTGTGCACCGGGCCAAGCTTCAATGGGACCGCGCCAACTGACTGAAGCGAGTGTAAGCTGAGTCCACTCCTTGCAGTAGCGCCAGTGCACAACTATTGTGGAAAACACATCATACTTGAAGTGAACTGAAGCCCAAACATGTTTATAAACATGGCCGTGTTTATAAACTCGTCCTGGCTTTCGCTTCCTCAAGCTTTTGCTCATTGATACACATACTGCCCTCAGTGCCCTCAGCATTCCTCGCTTTGCACACCATGGAGCACGCAATCATCGCGGCGAAGATGACACACATCGGGTCTCTCATCCACAACATCAACGATTCAAGGGAGTTCTGCATTAAAGACCTTCCGCTGATTGATGCCCCCAACAACAAGGGCCAAAAGTTCAAGGAGTTCTTCCACATCGTAGAGGGCGTTTCTGCTGCAGATTGTGATTTGATCCGCAATATCTACAACTCGGACCCACTTAAGGTTAACGAGCTACCTGACTCAGTGCGTCCTCGTGATGCCCTTGGAGACTCCTGCGTATTGCAATTGGCCATATCTCCTGAGCAGGACGGCACATACACGGTGCTGAAGTTCTTTCACTCCACCGCCTTCATTCCTCTGGGACTTGCCAAAGCCTTCTGTGCACAGAAGGTAAGTGTCATCAACTACCAGGTGGCAAACAACAACGACCACGTCAAGTGCGCTTTCCTCTACATTCTCCAGCGCCTCCAGGGAGAGCAATGGTTGACATTCATTTCATTCAACACGCAGCGTCCAGTCTGAAGGACGCTTTGCGACCGCTCAAAGAGAACAAGCCTTAAAGCTCGGCAAAGCTGCGCAACGTGCTACTGCACTGCGTGCATTCTCTGTGCTACTCGCTAAACTACTTGAAATAGACTCGTGTCCCGCCACGAGTGGCAAAGCGGACACTTGCACACGCCTCCGTCACGTATGACCTAGCGAGGCTATGTGTTCATTAACATGAAAAACATGCAATTACAGCATCAGCACTAACACTCTCGGAGCTCAGAAGCGAGGTTTGGCGGTGCAGCAATTATCCGTGGCACATCATTCAGACCAGCATACAAAGCCCAATCAAGTAGCAGTTGCAATAAGCATGCTGAAGTTGTGCTTCTGTGCACTCTCTAGCAGTCCGGCCATCATCTGTAATCAAGCTGATCCATCGATGAGCACTCGGGCGTTTTTGGTAGCCACTCAGCAAAGCTTAGTGGCCTGAGTGAACAGAAAGTCCAGCATGAACCACCACACTCAGCGCCGCAAAGGATTGCCACTGCACATTCAAGCCAGCGGCGGAACTGAAGACAGGTAGCCGAACTTCCGTACCCACCTGATAATCAAAGAAATGCATATTTTTATGTATGGTGCCATCCTTCTGAGTGTATCGCTTGATCTGTAGATAAAGAATAGCCGGCGCCTTCGAAAATGCATGAAGATAATGCTGCTTGTGCCATGCTGTAATACTGGCCTGCAAACCATCTGGATGAATTTCAAGTGCAAGCGGCTGCAGACAATGACCTTGGTCCCCAATAAAATCAAGCCTCCCAACACTGAATCGACTCTGCCAGTGTCCCTGATAAGCCAGGGGCATCGCACGTCCCAGCACAAAAGCCAAAAATTCAGCAGCATCCTGCTGCCTGTCCAAGGCCGGTTGCCAGGCCTGAAGCAATGACCTCCAGGCATCATGCCGTAACAAGTTGGCATTCTCCTGTCGAACCAATTGTAAGCACTGAGGCATGAGCTCACCAAACAGCATTGTCGAATCAAAGCCTGGACAAGCCATCTGTACAATGCCCATCCACAAAAAAGTGAGGAGAGTGGAATTTGCATAGCAAAGTTGATGTGGATTACAGAGAGCAAGTCGCAGCACCGGCCTGGCTGCCAGATTTGCGAGACGGCTCATTGGCTCCGAAAGGCGGCAGCCGCCGTTTCCAGAGTCTGATCTGGGGTCTCCTGGGCCTCCTGTTGTCTGCCCCGGCCTCGCCCCTTCCCTTTTCGCCACTGCTGCTGGGCCTTGGCCAAAAACGTGACCCTCTGCTCCTCCGTCCTGGTGGGTGGTGCTGGGAACTTCTCCTGGAGGACTTTCACGAGGGGCTGGCGCTCCATCCGAACCGGTTTGAGCCTCATCTTGACCAACTGGGTGCTGGCGTTGTAGCTGAGCTGCTGTAAGGCCCGGTAACAGATGAGAGCTTGAGGATCCCTCATCCCTATTCCCAGGAAGAACGTCGCAGCCGTCTTGTGTTGTTCCACCAGCTTTCGAGAGTTGTGAAACCGTAGTAACACTCCTGGTGCTCCGATGCTGGTCTTCAGAACCGTCAAGAGGCTTCGAAGCTCCGTATCCGACAGCGGCTGCTGATCCGACGGCTCCAACTCCTCCTTGTCGTAGTTCCACCGAAGGTAGTTCCACACCGGGTTTCCGTCCAACTGACGGATGTAGCCAAGTTGGGCAAGCCTAGCAATGGTTGACGCAATCCTTGATGAACAAGGTGTCTGCCAAAGCCATGAAGAAGGACGACTCGGGTGATGGCAAAAACTGGGAGCCCAGCGACGATGAGCTACGCGCAGGTATCGCCTATATCAGTGACTATGCGCCTCTGTCCAACACCAAGAACGAGCAGTTCTTGTGGTGTCTACTCAATGTTCGCGACCGCGCTTCTCCCATCTATGGCTGGCCCCATCATGTTGTCAACAAGGCTTGCATCAATCGGACCACAGGCAACTCACAGACTGATCCAGAATACTTCTTTCCACTTCTACTACATGACTTGGACCAAACCTTCTTGGAGAAGGTCGTGCCAATGGTGATGCCCACAATGACTGGGCATGGGCTTATCCTCTTGGGCCGTGCAGGTGTCGGGAAAACGCCTACTGCCATCATCCTCGCCCTGGCCGTCGCTCGCCACCTCGTGGTGATTCGTGGTCTTGATGGCCACATTCCCGGATTCAGAAGATCCAAGCAAATCGACGGATTCCGCGAGAGGCCTGGCGAACTACATGTGCCGGTGCTTCTCGACGATCCTTTGCTGTGCTCCATGAATATGGAGGATCTGAAGTCCTTCCTCGACGTGGCAGAGAACACCTTGGTTGACGCCCGCTATAGAGCCGCCAAATTCGTCCGCAACCAGGGCGTATTCTACTCAACAACGAATGGGGGGACGAGAAGGAGCCAAACATTAACATGGGCGACAAGACCGGCTGGGAGGCCTTCAAAGACATGTTCAGTCCTGCGGTCAACAATGCTTTTCTCCCCCACGTGATGGCCATTTTGAGGCGATCCTCGGTGGTCATTGCGGGAGAGTTAGCAATCTAGGTTCGTTTGGCGAGCAAGCACCCGGACCAGGTCATTCACCGGTTCGACTCCTGCTCTATGCTGAAGGATTGGTTGAAGCCAACCAATAAGAAGTTCTACAACCTCTACAAGGAAGGCCAGCACGTCAAATACCCCGGCTATCAAGAAGCACTTGAAGCTGAAGCCAATCTGGTAAGTGAGTTGCTTGCCTCTCCTTCCGAGAAGGAGTATTTGGCCAGAGGACGTTCCCACGATCAGTGGGCTGAGAGGTACGGCGCGGAACTGACCACACCAAGAAGCAACATGTCGACGGCAGCCATCACCACGAGCCCAGCGATGACATCGCCGCCGGCTAAGCAACAGAGGATCGCGCACGAAGAAGAGGCGGACGAAGAGGCCGCCAGCTTCATGCACTCCTGCGATTGATCCGAATCTCATCGACAGAGACCATTTTGACTACGCAGCTCCTGTAACGCGGCTTGGGATGTCTCATGCTCCATCAGCATAACTGCTAGCAGATGCCCGTTGGAAAACCAAAGAACTTGCAAAGCAACACTCGCGTGCAGTGTCTGCGTTGAGCTCTTTCTCTCACTTCGTTAGACTCCGTTAGACATTTTGGGTCAAGGATTGAGAGGTATAGATCCATCATGCCGACCAAGCGTCCAGCGGCGGCCCTTCCGCCGGCCAGAGCTGTGTATAAAACACATCTCACACGATGCTTTTGTTCTTCGGATTCCATTCTGAAACCAGCTCACGAGATTAATGCCATCCTCTAGGGCATGAGCGGAATGGAGCGCATCATCGTGCAGAGCTTCCGTTGTTCCAGCTTTGGTTGCAGGAAAACATACGGGCCGAATTTTGTTTGGGATCTCTCTCACAAGTATAACACAGCCACCCCCAAGAACATTGAAGAGCTCTGGGCTCTCTTTGTGGGGACGAAGATTGGCTTTACCGTGGACTACCTGAAGTACCATAGCTTCCTGGAGTTCTGCGCATGTGTGTCTGCTGCACACTTACCAGCACACTTTTTGCAAAGATGCACGTCGCCGCCATCATGTCGTGGGTAGCCGTCCAGGAACTATGTCCATTACAGCTACATCTCAGCATCAAGATCGGCGACGAGATCACACCTCAAGCTCTTCGTGCATACCATCAACACCTCCATCTCAAGGTCTTTCCACCGAACCGCAAGAGTACAGTCAAAGAGCTTGTGGCTGATGGACATCAAAAAGCCCACATCAAATGCGCAAACTCGCGCAAGCACGCAGGCAAACCTCCCAGTCATGGTCGCATCAAGCCGTTTGGCCATGGCTGGTTCATGCTGGTCCATCCTCGGGATCTACGCATTCTGGCTTTCAAATCCATGTCTGTCCCGGACAACAATGCGATACTCCATGATTCGCTTCTCGAAATCTTGCCCTTGTACAAGAACTTGGATGGCGTAATCATGGACCGTGCCTGCGGTTTCTTGCCCACAGCCCAGGCCGACAAGAACTTGAAACAGATCAAACACTGGAGCATGGACGGCTTCCATGCAAAAGGCCACACGAAAGGATGTCCTTGCAACCCCCTCCACAAGCAGAGGTTGGCTACGAGATTTACGGGGGCAAACTCCTCAGCGTGTGAACAAGTCTTCTCGTGGTTTCGTAATTACGCACGGCTTCTAAACGAGAGTTCCCCTGTTCTCCTATGCGCCATAGCTTCAAAGGTGTTGTACTTCGTGAAACTGCATAATTGTGCAGTGGAGCAGAAGCAGTCCATGTACTTGAATCGCTATATTCGCTCCGGTAAGAAAGCCAAGCGACCTTACTCTTGTGGCAAGAAGACGGGTCCTAAACAACGACCTGCGGCAGCCATGAAGACAGGTCCCAAAAAACGACCTGCATCAGTCATGAGCTAACAGCTCTGAGCTACGTGTGTGCCAGGCAGAACCGTCGCTGAAAATCAACCAGCGTGCTGTGGCATCTAGGTTGTGAACTTGTCCTGTTCGCATGTCAGCGCATCCAAGGTATTCTTCATCATCCTGGCAACTTGGAATATACTATACTTAACTTACTGTTAGATGCTTGTAATAAGCATGTCCCTAATCCCTTAAAAAGTGGGGTTTCAAAAACCCAGGCCTCACAGCAACCTGCTCTCCACTACTACTACTACTACTACTACTACTACTACTACTACTAGTACTACTACTACTACTACTACTACTACTGCTACTACTACTCCCACTACTACTCCTACTCCTACTCCTACTCCTCCTCCTCCTCCT